TCCGCATTCACCCCACACCCCCACCGTCAGATACCAGGATGACGACTCCATCTGGATTGGCAGATGCTATCAGCCAAGAGGAGAGAAGAGGTGAGATGGAAAGAAAACAAACAAATAAATATATAGACAAAAAATGTAATGCCCCCGCCCCCCCCAGTTGTTGAGATGCTGACGTCCTGCACTCCGCACGACCTTTCAGCTAAGCGGCACGAAGGAGCTGCAGGAAAAACCATGAGGACAAGACGAAGTAAAATTCATTTAGTTAAAAAAAAAAGTGCTTGTGTGGGGGGAGGTACTGGCAGTGAGCCCCCCCCCCACCACAGCCCGCCATCCTGCCTGGGCCCACGCTGGCAGCGACAATGCCAGATAAAAGCGCTGCCGACGGCTGGCCTTTGCAGCCCTGCCGAGTGGCTCCTTCCGGAAAGGTCTGTCGCCGGGAGGCAGGCCGGTGCTGCAGCCGCATGCCGTGCCGACGAAGCCTTGGGGGAGGGGGGCCGCGCGGGATTTATAGCTTTTGGGAAGTCAAAAACAGACAGGAGACAGTGCTGGTCTGAGGCACCCCTCACTTCAGCCACCCTACACCCCCCCCCCCCCCCCCCCCCCCCCCCCCCCCCCCCCCGGCTGTATTTAAAGGTGGCCAAGCAAAGCCAGGCTTAATTAGACAAGCCGTCACACGCCGGACCTGATGCCGGCCACCTGTGACAGGACGGTGACTCCAGGTGCCGGTTGACGGGTGGAAGGTTCCGGAGGCCAAGCTGAGCCGTGACACGGACGCCTCCCCCCAGGCCAAACAGCAATGCGCTCACATCCGTTCAGACCCAGCATCTGTGCTGAGACCAGGAAGCACCAGAAAGTTCACTCGTTTCTTGTGTTCCTTGCTCGTCCTTCTTTTTCATTCTTCCGTTCACCTTATCGCTCCTTTCACTTCTCTCCCTCCTTCATTCCCTCCTTCCTGAGACCCAGACATCGCAGGGGGACACCTGCCACTTTGATCGATCTGTCCTACTTCTGGCTAAACTAAAGTGCAATTCATCATCCATAACAACCAGTACCCGGGTCGCGGGGCCGCTTCAGGGGAGAATCTCCCGGCCCCGGGCCCAGAGTGACTAAAACAGGCTGTTCCATTAACTGTACACCCTCGGGCTGATTTCTGTGGGGGGGGCACATCTGAACTCCACACTCAAAATGCACAAACAAAACAGCTGCAGCACAGAACCGGCGGTAAGACACCAGTGTGAGGTCACTTAGCAGCCAGACTGCGCCCCCACGGCAGAGTCTGCCGAGAAACATCACGCTTTCCTCCCTCTTCCGGTTCTGGCACTCTCCAAACCGCTAAACCATCGGACCGTCGTTCGCCAATTAGCAGAGCACATCGCAGGCATGCTTGGGAATTATAGCGACTTCGGTCTCCTGAGCCTCTGGATAACTGAGAAGGGTTAAGGAGGCCTAAAGGCAAGAGGTCCGCTATAACCCCAAGCAGACCAGCACCCAGCGGGGTACATGCCTGCCTATTAATGAGCTTATTAAGATGGGGGAGGGGCATAGGGGCATGCCCATTAATGCTGCTCCTGCCCAGCACCTACCAACTCCTCCCTGCCTCAAGCTCCCTGTCTCCAACTCCGTCTCCCACGCCCTGTTTCCCACTCACTGTCTCTCACTTCATCTCCAGCTCCCTGTCTTCCACTCCCCGCCTCCTGTTCCCTGCCTCCTACTCCCTGCCTCCCACTCCCTGCCTCCCACTCCCGCTCCCTGCCTCCCGCTCCCTACCTCCTACTCCATCTCCCATTCCCTGCCTCCCGCTCCCTACCTCCCACTCCCTGCCTCCCACTCCCTGTCTCCCGCTCCCTGCCTCCCACTCCCTGTCTCCCGCTCCCTACCTCCTACTCCCTGCCTCCCACTCCCTACCTCCTACTCCCTGCCTCCCACTCCCTGCCTCCCGCTCCCTACCTCCAACTCTCTGCCTCCCACTCCCTGTCTCCCGCTCCCTACCTCCTACTCCGTCTCCCATTCCCTGCCTCCCACTCCCTGCCTCCCACTCCCTGCCTCCCGCTCCCTACCTCCTACTCCCTGCCTCCCACTCCCTGCCTCCCACTCCCTGCCTCCCACTCCCTGCCTCCCGCTCCCTAC